AGGAATCCTGCAAAATTTAGAGTCAATTAAAGGAGGCTGTTTTGCTGTAATAATATTTTCCACACGTATTACACCTCCTCGTGGAACAGAGCCCATTTCTACCACAAATGAAATCTCTGGTGGGGACGGAGTGTGGCTGATGTCTAGACAGCTGTAATATGCTCTCCATGGGCTTGTCCACTGGCATCTCTGGGAAGCTCCAACTAGAACAGAAGGCAGGGTCTGCAAGCTGTGGAGCACATCACCCAGGCTGGGTTGACCCAAAGAAGGAGGCACTCACCTCCTTGAGCTCTTCCATTTCCCCATTCCACCTAAAAAAGCATATCTGTATGGGGTGTGACATTACTGTGCAGGTAATCATGCATCATACCACCTCTTTCTTGAATTTGCTTCATTCCTTGGCCTGCCTGACCCCAGATTTGTCAACACTCTGCTGGTAAACCCATGCTTTGTTCACCTCCCCAAACCTTCTGTCTCAGGAGCATCCCTTGAGTCCTGAGCTAAAGCCCACTGAAATCAGGGAAAGCCTTTGAGAGGATTTCACTGGCTCTGGGTGGGGGCTGGGAAGGCCAGCAGCTATGGGATGCTCAGAAGAAGACAGGTCATACCTGTGTGCTGTGGGGTGTCCTCAGACAAAGCCTCCTGGGCCATAAACTAGATGGTTTAAAAGATGGATGATTTATAACCTTCTGGGGGAGCCAAGATTTTATAATGTATTTTTTTTGATAGACTAGGTCCATGGACAAACTATTGGAACACACCAACTAATCACCACACCACCTCCCAGCCCTCAGGGCACCCGAGCACTGGCCACGAAGAAAAGTTCCCTCCACAGAGAGGGGAAGCCCAAAGACCCCTGGTGCCTATTGCTCCTCACTGCCCCACAGGACAGCAGTAGCCAGGGGCAAATTAAACAAAAAAAAAAAAAATAAATAAAATCACATGGCTGTGAAATACAAATGAGGCAAAAAATGCCTTCAGCCAACCAAGAGAGCTCTGTCTCCCCAACTGCGCCGGATACAAAGATCGTGAGCAAACAGGATAGAATGTCTTCTGCCTTTTGTGAAATGAAAATAAATGAAAGGATCTAAGGTTTCAGGTCACTGATCCCTCTCTTCCCTATCTGTACCATTTATCGGAGGTGGAATATAAAGGTTCCAGGTCCTTTTCTATACAAATGAGGCAAAAAATGCCTTCAGCCAACCAAGAGAGCTCTGTCTCCCCAACTGCGCCGGATACAAAGATCGTGAGCAAACAGGATAGAATGTCTTCTGCCTTTTGTGAAATGAAAATAAATGAAAGGATCTAAGGTTTCAGGTCACTGATCCCTCTCTTCCCTATCTGTACCATTTATCGGAGGTGGAATATAAAGGTTCCAGGTCCTTTTCTTTTTCTTCCTGTCAGCACTTTAAGGGTTGTTTTTTCTCCTTCCCCCTTTCATTTTCTGAATGAAAGGACCACTTAGGAACCTGTAAAGTAATAATAAGCTTATAACAGGAATATTGGTTTTCTGGGCCAATGCAAACTCCTTCTGAATAGGTTGAAGAGATTAAAGTAAAAATGCAATCTGTAAATAGATCAGGCTTTTAATTAGTTTATAGCCTGCTAAGAGATAATATTTTGCTCACATAGATGGTCTGGTATCTAAAGATCTCAGAGCACTTTAGGAACATCAATTAAGCCTTAAAAAAAAAAAAAAAATCACTAACAACCTAGGGAGATAGGCAAGTGTATTTAGATTAATTAGTGTTGCTGTGAGCAGCAGGCATTATTATTAGATTTAATTTAGTCCAATAATTGACTTATCTGTTAATGGATTCTAATTCATCTGAGAAGGGATCAAATCCATCTGATTAAAAGCATTACATCGACTCAATTAATTCTATTAACTGACTTAATTTGCCATTTAATAATTCAACACATGGGGCCAGATCTTGGCCCCGAAGAAGTCACAAACCAAAAATTCCATGCTGGAATTATTATGCCAGCAAAACAATGTGCTGCAGAGCATGCATTTTCCCTTGCACGTGGCATTAGCAGACCCAGATGAAATATTCCAGGGGGCTTCCTCCAGACAGGACCCCCCCAGTCCTGCCAGGCCCCCTGTCCCTGAGTCAGGGCTGGCTGGTCATTTTGCTGTACTCATGGTGGCTGCCTGGAAACGAGCAATTCACTGCCTGAGATTTGCCACTTCCCCTCTTTTCTGGCCATTCTCTTCCAGCAAGAGGTGAGAAGCTTGACAGAAGCCAATAAAAGCTTGCCATAAAACTAACCCCCCTTCAAAGGCAGGTCATCCCTCCCACGCCAGCCATTTGGAAGCTGTCTCTGTGCAAAAAAAAAGAAGAGAGAGATAAAGAAAAAGCACATCTCTTTGCTTGGACACTGTTCTTTCACCAGTTGTGAATGTAGCAGAGGAGAAAGAGGTGCTAAAATGTTATTAGCTCCCCCATCCTTAACACTGGCTGGTGCTAATTACTGGTGATGAGCACTGTGGGCTGTAGCCACTGCTGCTCTGCTCCACAGAGCTACCCACATCGAGACAGTCTGTCCTGCCTGATGTTACCTTATCCTAACAGGACTGAGCTGTTGGGAAAACTCAGGGCTGGAGTCAGCTCATGGGCACCTTTCCCAATATGTGGCCCTGCCCATGGCAGGGGGGTGGAACTAGATGGTCTTCAAGGTCCCTTCCAGCCCAAACCCATCTGTGGTTCTGTGATCTCTTGCCTTTTCTCAGACATTGGCTCTTGCTTATCCCCCCAAAGCCTTCCCTAGGCTGGAATACTTAGGACATCAACCCCCATCACCTCCCCTGTCAGTGGGGACAGGGTTAAGGCAGTGGAGAAGCTGCACCGTCTGCAAGGGCAAGGCAGCCAAGAGAGGAGCTGGGCACTCCCCAGCACTGAGCCTGGCTCTGACTCCCTGTGCCAGAGCAGAAGCAGGGAAAAAGGGAAGAGAAAAAGAGCAGGAGGGAAACCAACCATCTGCTGCAGGAGAGGAAAGGTGTCCTCCTTCAGAGGCAGATCCGACCAGCCAGACGGAGATGTGGATCAAAAGTTTGCAACTGTTGAGATCCCCAGACCTGGTTTAAGCCTCTCTCTGGTCTTGATCAAAGGTTACTCCATAATAATGCCTCGGGGGGAGGGGTTCCCGGCACATAATGAATCCTGTGTCATTGCCTTTGTATCCAGTTTTGGCTGTAACACAGATGGTTCTCACTTCAGTAACTCCAACATCTCTCCCCCCTTCATTATCACAGCCAGGAGCTCTGCGTGGTCACATCCTGGACCTCCACGCCCCACCTCACTGTCTCCCCGATTATCATGCTCTAAGTGTTCCCGTGCCAAGCAAGATGATGAACAGATTTCCATAACCTTTCAGCACAGCCAGGGATGGGAAGGCTTTGCAGCTTTGACGCATCACGGAGTTTGATTAGGAGGCACAGGGGAGGGAGCAGGAGGGCTGGCAGCAAACGGCCTCCGTGGCCGGAGCACCCCATGCTGTCCAGAGGATGCCAACAACCTGGAGTGGAGAGGATTGGGTGCTGAGGCACCAGGGAGCTCCCCAGATGGGAAATGCCAGGCTCTGCAATTGTGCAGCATCCCCACTGGCCACCGCTCCTGCGCTCCTGCGCCAGGGTTTGTCGCCCAGACACGATTGCATATGTATGAAGGGGACAAGATGGGCTTTGACACATAAATTAGCACTTGTCAGCTGCTCACGGGCACACTTCCCTGCTGCACCCCACGGAAAGTGCTGCCTGCTTTTATGGAGAGGAAAACTGCCTCCCGGTACCTGACAGGCCCTGCAAGAGCTGCCCTGGGAGGGAGCAGCCAGCAGGCAGCCACTGGTTTACATATCAAACCTGAAGAGGGGGAACACAATAAAATGACACAATAATTAGCAGCCAAGTGACACTTTCCACCCGTTTCATCCGGAGATTTTGGAATGACAAAGGACAAGGTTGATGAGACCTCAGGGCAGAGACTGGGCTGGTTTCACACCAGCCAGGTGCTTTCTAGCTGTCAGCTCCTCCCATGGCACAACTCAGACAGCTCTTCCACCCGTGCTGCCCCCTGTGCTGGGCACAGCATGTGCCTCATCCTGCCTGAAGCTCCCCTGGGAAACAACCCTTCCCAGACTCTGACCCAGCATCCTGGCAGCCCACCTGCACCTCAGCAGTGCTGCATGGGAAGTCAACCACACGTGAACATCCATGGTCAACACACACACACCCACACCCTCTGCAGCAACGTGTGAGCACAAGGGGCTTTACATCCATGAGAGAAAAAGGACCAGTTATCTGCACAGCCCCCAGATTCTTCCAGAAACCAACTCAACAGAAGTGTCTCTGCTGCAACCGTCTCAAAATGTACCAGAACTACAAGGTTTTTTCATCATTCAGCCTGCTAGCAGTCTCTCCAGCATGTTGCTTGTGTGCAAAGCACAGTGAGGACAGCTGAGCAAGCTGCTGACCTAGGGGAAGGTCCATTAGTTGCCCTCCTGCAGAATCCACATTCCCCAAGATTCAACTAAAGCTCTAGGGTACTCTCCAAGCTCCAAAGTCTGCTTCATTTCAGCCCACACCAAATACGTCCCCACCAATGAGAGTGCTTCACTGAAGCACTGGATTCACCCAAATGCAAGCCTGGAGCTTATGGGGAAAGAACATCCCCAGGCACCAACCTGGCAGCTTTATGAATCCCGGCAGACACGCTGTGACCTCATGCGTTGGGCAGAAATAGATTGTTCCCTTCAAACACCCTCATACCCCAACAGCTTGGGCCATGACACTACTGTGGGAACTGCCTGCTGCTAGGAGCCAGACTGGCAGCCTGCTCCACCACAACAAACCCCCTGTTCTTAACCCAGAAAGGTGTTTTTTTTTTCCCCTTTTACCCTGTTTTTTATTGCTCCTCTTCTCCCCAGAGGCACTCAGCCCTACATACAGGAAGAAAGCCTTTGACCTGGAGTTTCTGAGGGATCCCGGTAAATATTCTTACCATATTTATCTCCATCTTCTCCTTTGGCACTGATCCTCCTGCCGAGCACTTGGATGTGTTTCCCACTTGTCCTGCTGTAGAGCTGATAGAGCCGAAGCTGCTTCCTGCTCACGTCGTCCCGCGCTCGCGTCTGGTTCTCCACGTGTATCCGAAAATCTACATTCTCCTCGGCAGCAAACATCTGAGGTGGGATGGGGAGAGAGAACGGGACAGACCATGAAACAAAACAAGCCTCTTGGATGGGACGGCTGCACATCAACCTGCCAAGGGCACGTGGCTCGAGAGGACTGGGACTTGGCTGCCCTTGGTTTGACAGTTGCAGCCGCGGTATCAGGCGCTCGGCGTGTAACTCTAGCCTGAGCTGGCTCTGCTCAGTAAACCAGACCCAGGCTTTTACAGTCAAACTCCTGGGGAGGGTTGGGGGTTGGAGGCAAAACTTCTACTGGGTCCTGCTTTGATTTAATCCCAATCAGCCACGCTGGCCATAAATTCATCTCTCCTTTACACGTGCACAGCCTCTCCCAGGTTGCACGGACACACACGGGAGGAAGGGAACTGACAAGTCCATTTCAGGGGATTTGTGCTGCACCTTCAGCAGCTGCACTGAAGCCCCAGATGAACTGCAGGGAAGAAGTAAAGAGGAAAACCTATTTATGCTGACATCAGCAGAATGGACTCCAGCTTGCACAGGCATAAAACCTACTAGGATAGAAGCGTAATCTCTACACAGGGACTCTTCAGCCTCACTTTTGTGCCAGCTCTGCTTTTAAGTGAAGCCAGCTCACTGGTGAAAGCCTATGGATGCATCTCTGTTGGCCTCAGCAGGGCCATGGCTTGGGGATGAGGACCAGCAAGAGGCAACCCAGCATGCCCAGCCATGAGGCTGTTATCAGCAGGGTCTGATCATTCAGGGGCAGGTTGGATGGGGCTCTGAGCAGCCTGTTCTAGTGAGAGGTGTCCCTGCCCGTGCAGGGGAGTTGTAACTTGATGATCTTTAGGGTCCCTTCCAACTCCAAAAATCCTGTGATTCTGTTTGAGACACTTCATCTACTTTTTTTTTTCTGGCCAGTGGATTAAATTAACCATAGTTCACTACAGCCTTAAAATATTACCAGAAACTTTCTCTATCACATCTGCCCTTCCTTGGAGATCTTGTTTCCTATCTTAACTTATGGTTCCCAAAAAAGACTGAAACAGGATTCCTGGATTTGCTCCTAGAAACTTCTCCATCCTTGCCCAAGGTCAGAGGACCAGACAACCAAGATGTTCTCAAGGTGCCCTCCTGAAGGGGGGCTGGGCAGCACACACCAAAAAGTACTTCACACTAGAGCCCAGAAATCACTCCACAATCTGTCCCAGCAAGTGTTTGCACCACAACATCCAAGCTACCCACTCCAAACTCACAGATGGACACAATTTTGGTGGCAGAGCCCCTTCACAGGACAATAAATCATTCAGAAACCAAATGCAAAAGATTATTGAGTGGCAAACACACAAAACTACTGCACAAAAGATAATTTTTAATTTGACCAAGACAAAGACTGTTTAAATAAAACTCATTGCTCTAACCCTGTGCACTGCTGCATGGAACAGACCAAATCCACCACAAAATAAGAATCACATGGGGATTTAATTGTGCCTGTAAGAATCAGGGGGGAATTCAATGGTGCCTAGGTTTGGGGCTGACAGAGGAACAATTACTCCTAGCAGAGTTATTATTTCTCCTCCAGTAATGCACACTTGTCCTCCTAGCCTGATATCAGGGGTGCTCTGCCATGTTGGTGTGGGGATGGAGCTGGCAAGGCGAATGAAAAAGGGTCAATAAAGCCTTGTTCAGGTCCATGCCAGGCTAAAACACCCACGAGCAAGTGGCCAGAACAGGCAAAACAGTCTCACTTCAGCCTCCTGCATCTGTCATCTCGCACCAGCAAATATTTCTAAATCAAATACTCCCAGAAAGTCGAAACCTCAGCATAATTTTTTAGCGTTTCTAATTATCTTGTAACCGCCCAGATGAGCAGCAGGAGGAAAACCTTGGGCAGGCAGTGCTGCCTCACACCAGACCTTCACTAAGCAACCTAAACAAAAACATGATATTCAGCACAGTGGCAGCAGCAACGAGCTTCACAGGGATGTTGCAGGATCACCTCTTCTGCCACTGTTAAATGCTGGGTTGATGCTGTTTGAATCCCAAGTCCTAGGAGAGAAACCAGGTCAGGTCTCTTATTTTGCTGTCAGAAGTTAGGAGGAGAGGCTGCAGGAGCTACACCCACAGACTGTGCCATGGGAGGTTCAGGGTAACACTGGGTGTAAATAGACATTCAAGGTGCTGAAAGAAGTGATGGACAAGAATTATCCCACCAATTGTAGTGATATTCCCCACCCTCAGAAAACAGACCCCAAGGCAAGAGTGGAAGAGAAGCAGCAGCCCCGGCCCCAGCTGGGAGGGCAGAATCACTGAGTGCTCAGGGTTGGAAGGGACCTCTGAAGATCATCTCGTCCAACCTCCCTGCTGGAGCAGGATCACAATTCTGGGGGAGCCCATCTCCAGAGCCCAAGCTGGGCTCTGCTCCCTCTCCTCCCCTGAGGCACCAGTTACCCCTGAGCACAGACAGAAGGTCTTGGCTTTTAACATGAGTAATATCCATTCTTTTTTTTTGCATCCTACATCTCTTCTTGCTGTCTTCTCGAATGATATTGTTGCAAAGGATGCTGAACTACTAAAAATAAAGATGCTCAAGTGATGCTGACAGTCTGCCTCTTACCCACAAAAGCAAGGCTATTTGCAGTTAAGATTCTGGCTCCAGCATTTTAAGATTTAAACCAGATTTTCAATCAAGATGACGTCATTACACTGTGCTCACCACATGTTAATGAATTTCACATTTTTCTAGGGGAAAAAAAAAAAAAAAAAAAAAGCCAAAGCAGGTGGGATTTGTAGTGGGGGGAAGGGCAGGTTGCTTTGCTTTCTTGGAAACTTCAAATGGAAAAGGCAATCTGTTTTCCCAAATATGTATTAGTTGTCTCTTTTTCTGGTCTCCTGAGCACACCCCAGCCCATACCTGTGGTGCCTGGATGGGTGCTGGGCATCCTGCTTTGTAGCCAGCTCTGAGCAGACACGAACCCACATGCACAAGTTCCTCACAGTTTTCCTGCCCAAGATCAGCTCATTAAGGGTCCCCATCCACCTCACAAAGGACAGGCTGTAGCCCAGAGGGGTGATGTCTTCTCCTCCTCCCCCAGCATCACCCCAGCACCTTGTCCAGCCCGGTGCAGGGATCAGCAGAGGACACCAAGCCCTGACATAAAGTCAGCCCAAGTGTGTATCACTCCATTTTTTCTCCAGTAACCAGCCCTGCTGGAGCCCAGGAGAAGAAATCCTGGAGGGGGAACATTCTGCAAGTCCTCCTTGCAGCTGACCTGTCTCCTGGTCAAGAACCCCTGGTCCAGCACAGGGGTAAAACCACCAGGATTTAGCTGCCTGTTTAAAGATAAGCACACACTTAAACGCTGTGGAAACAGGATGCTCTGCTGGAGTGTGGCCAAGGGGAATTAGCTGTGCCAGCCTGGGCTGCATCTGGCCCCCAGCAGAGAGTATCAATACTCTAAAATAAAATTTCATGCAGTGTCGATTTCAGGAGATAAACCCTATTTGATCATTGCTGAAATCCACTCTCACAGTATCCCTGCCCTGAAGAGCACACTCCCTCAAGCAGCTAACTTTACTGAGATAAGAAAGTCCATTTATATGCACCATAAGAGAGAGTCTCTTTCATAAATCTCAAAAAAATTAGTAACATATGCCTCCCTCAGTAGCTGATTGCCAGCACTCACTCCAGGAGGTCACCTGAAACCAAGTCCATCCACCTCAAATACATTTCTGTAACAATCACAACTGCACAAAAATGGATGCAGAAATGTCTTTAAGACTCAGTCCCACTTGAAACCATCAGGATTTTACTTCTGTTCACCAAAGCAAATGGATTATTTTTTTAAATTGTATTTTTTTAAAACTATGAATATATTATTATTGCATAGTAAGACACCAAGCACAGAATTAGCATCTCTTATTTTTGGCCTTTTAATCTGATAATCCACACTGTAGGTGGCAAAACCCACAGACTCTGGATGCAAAGCTGAGCACAACAGGTCCCTGAAACAAAAGGCTGCTCTCATCTCCCAGCCCCAAGACCAGCAACGTGTCCTATGGGACACGCTTTGGAGACAGGAGAAGGATCTCCTGCCCTGCCATATCCCCTCCAGTGTTTTGCTGGGGTTTGGGGTTGTGTTGCAGTCTATTTTGCAAACCTACCCAAGTAGTGTGGAGCCCTGTCCATGCAGGACAGCTCGAGCATCTCAGGATACTGGGTCTCCTGCAGCTCCACCTCACTCTCTGCCCGTGGTTCATAGTTTGCAAAATCCCAGTCGTTAACACAGAGAGCATCAAATCCAGCTTCATTTTTATTCTTCCTCTCTCTTTTTAAGCAGTTCCTCATCCATTTATTACTTACTTACCACTACATCTTTCAGCAAGAATACGCAGCTACAAAGACCTCCTAAAAATACAGCTGGCAAATAGAGAAGTTTAAGCAAGGGAATAAACAGCATTCCTTTTAAAAACAACCATGACCACAAGTAGCCAAAGCATCAGAAATGCCTCTCTCCTGAAAAGAAGCAGCTCTCCCTCCTGGCTGCTGTACTTGCCCAACCATTTAATGTTGGTGTGTTTGGTCCTACCTCCTTTGCAAACAGCCACAGAAACCAGAAACAACATCTGCCTTCAAACGGCCACACTGGGAGGTTTTCAAGTGCTGTTTTGCCCAACGACTTTCAAACAATGAGTGGATTTCATTTTAAATGACTTTACAACGATCTTTCAGCTTAAAGAATGACTCTCCTATTTGTTAAATCCCAGATGGAGGGTGAGGAAAAGACCATTTTGCTGACGCAGCCGAAGGTTTCACCATCAAGTAATCCAAGAAATGCTCAAGAACAGCCAAAGCCTCTGAGAGGGGCCCTGAAACCTTCATGCTACACAAGCCTGTGCCACATCCCTGCAAACACCGATGCCTTGTTGCGAGCAGAAAGCAACCACAGCCCCACCAGGGTCAGGGAAACCCTCGTGGGGCTGAGCCATCCTCACGGGGTTGGGTTTTCCATCCATCCAACCAACCTCTGAGC